ATTATAAACACATATCAACTAGGTTTCCCCAACGAGCCCCATCCCTCGAGCCCGGAGCAGCGACTCCGGGACTGACCCGGCGCTGAGGTGCACGGCTGGGGTGCACGGCGAGAAACCCGCTACCTTTATTTGGTGGCAATGGCTAGTTTAAACCACCTATTAAAAGCAGCTTTTACTTTCTTTCTTTTACCAAGAAGATCCAGACGATCAATATTATTATAAACACAAATCAAAACTAGTTTCTCATCTCATCTCAGAATGCTAAAATCCCAAACTTCAATTAAAAAAAATATGATTTCCCATACAATTGCAGAAATTTCTCTCAAGAGTGAGAAATGAGAGAGGATACAGAAAAATGAAGACAATGCCCCCTTATACGTCAAAATGGGGATGCCAATAATGACAGCTGCGATAAAAATCAAGAAGGTGTACCTCGAATTTTCACCATTTTAATAAAAGAAAATCACGAAATTTTAAATTAAAGGTGGCGCTCTGTCCTCAACTCACCCGAATGTGACTCACTTTTGCAGACTATATGGTAGGAAATAACAGTTACTTTTCAAAGATCTTTGCAGTTACACCCAAGCCAAAATCAGGACAGAGATCCACCCTTAATTACAGCAATTTAACTGTCTTATCTTAAAGCAAGGTAAAAACTAAAAGGTCCTCCTGAAATCACAGCTAAATAAGCCCATTTTATATACTAGTTATCAAAGGTTCCCAATTTAAAAAAAAATGTCTCTATTTACCTCAAATTTGAACTCACCAGGCGGAAAAAGAAAAAGAGAGGGGGAGGAGGAGGACCCAAATGAAACGCACAAGTACAAAAAGCAGATTCTCCTCCAATCCCTCTTAATTCCCCCAATCCGCCCCTGCCACACACAAGGACAGGGAGTCTCGGGAAGGCTGGCATCGGGGCAAGTGGTGAAGGCCCTCCATTCACTCACGTGGGCCACCATCCAAAGGGTTACACACCCTCTGCCAGATGAGAACCTCATACAAACCAGGCCCTTACAAGTACTTCTTATTATAAAATACACCCACGCTGAACAAGAGCTTTATTTTAAAATAAGACTGTCCTCAGGTGGGGGAGGTTAAACACAACAAAGGCTTCCATGTTGAAAGGCAGACAAGTTCAGATATATGCATATACCTACACACGTATGAAAAAAATCTATGTAGCTAATTTATCACTAACAGCAATCGATACCAACAGAAGCCATTAGATTATTAATAAACCAAGAAAAGTAGCGGGCACAGAAGCGAAAGGTGGCTGTCTGCAGCGCTCTAACCCAAGGAAAAGGTAAATACCAACCTGTCGAGGAGGGTCGAGCCCTCCAAGTATGGGCAGACCCCCTTAGCCCACCCGGACGCCCTGCCCTCCCCTCCGCGCCAAGCACCGCACAGGGTGTGAGCACTCCCAGCGCTGCAAGTCCCGCAGAAAACTGGTGAATGAAATGCGCACAGAGACCAACCTGGCTGGTGACCGCGGCGCAGAACCAGGGGTCGCTAACCAGCTTAGCCACAGGATTCTCCCGCAGGATGGGATAGAGAGAGCACACCACCCACCCCACACACCCCTGTCACTGGAACGCAGACCTCCTCCAGACTCCTTCCCCAAAAAGGGAGGTGAGGGCGCAGGCTTTTTTCTCTTAAACTAAGTGAATAAACACGAATCGGAAGCAAATGTGAACATCCTGGGGGGCCAGACGGAAGGCGTGAGGAGAAAGACCAGGCGGCTCTCCAACTCCCGGGGAATCACCGTCCTGACACGCCAACAATCAACCACCCGGGCCAGGGGCCGACTGGGGCCCCCGCTCCCCTCCCGCAGTGCGTCTGGGGGGCCGAGGCCAAGGATTAGAGGGGTGACCCTCCCGAGGCGCGGGGAAAGGGAGTGCCGGGCACGGTGCCCTCAAGGTCACCACGCGCCGTGGCGGGGGCGACCGGTGGCGGGATGGGCCGTGGCGCGGCCGAGACGGCTCCGTGAAGCCGAAGACCTGCGGGTATAGACCAGAAGCCCCAACGAGCCCCATCCCTCGAGACCGGAGCAGCGACTCCGGGACTGACCCGGCGCTGAGGTGCACGGCTGGGGTGCACGGCGAGAAACCCGCTCACCTTTACAATCTCCCGACAAGAGGCAACCTGCGAGGGGCCCCGGCCGCCCCCGCCAGCTTCTCCCGAATCCGGCGCAACCCGCCGGGCACCCAGCTATCAGGACCCCCGCCGCGACGCCAGACCTCCGTGCTCCGCCCGGCCTCCCCCGCAGGTGACCTGCCCCGCCGCCCCCGCCGCTGGCGGGCGGCGGCCGCCACTCACCTCGCCCGGCAATGGGAACCATTTTCCGAGGGGGAAGGAAAGGGAGGCTGCAGGAGGGTCGCGGAGCGGTGAGGGACAGTGGGAAACGCAGAGGATGGGGGCTCTGTCCTCAGCGCGTCAGCAGTCGGCTCGCACGGCTCGAGGCGCCACGCGGAGGTGCAGCTGCACCTCGGGGATCGGGCGGTCAAGGAGCCGAGAGGCTCCGCGTCCACCAGCCGGGGCTCCCTACTCACGCTGCACTGCGAGGAGGCGGCGGCGGCGGCGGCAGCGAAGGAGGAGGAGGCGGCGCCCGGCCGTCCCCGCCCAGAGCCCGGCAGCCACCGAGTGGCCGCCCGCGTCCCCGCAGGACCCGCCTCCTCGGCTCCGCAGAGCCGCACACAGGGCGCGCCGCGCTCGCTGGGCACGGGCAGCTCAGCCGGCCTCACGCCGCCGTCCGCAACAGCAGCCGCGGGCGGGGTGCAGCCCCCTCCGTGAGCGCCGCAGCCCGCCCCGCTCTGGGCGGGGCCCGCGGGCACCGGAGAGCGGACGGCCGAGCACGAGGGGGCTGCGCGCAGCTCCGGGCAGGGACCCCGTCTGCACCGGGTGGCCAGCAAGATTGCCGGGGTAGGCAGGGGGAGGAGAACGCTCACCCGTTCCGGTCTGGCGCTCCCTTCTCTCCACACCCACACGCCTCCCGCTCCACGCTGGCGGCACAGCTGCTCCCGCTGCCACAGCCGCCACCGCCGCCGAAGCTCGCGCCGCCGCCGCTGCCGCCTTGGCTGGGCGCGGTCACGTGATGCGGTCCGCGGGGACCCTGGGGGCGGGCGGGTGCGCGCGCGCGCGCGCGGAGGAAGCGCGGCTCGCACCGGGACTGGGAGCGGAGCGGCACTGGGAGGGCGTTTAAGGGGAGGACCCGGCGAGCGCGCCCCCGGCTGGCGAGCGCGCGCCCGGCTATTAGAACTTGCCGCGCGGTCGGGAAAGGGTGGCCGGACTGAGGGGCGGGGGTGGGGACTTGCGCCTCCGCACGCCCCTCCCTCTCTTCCTTCCCCTGGGCGCCTCGGCTAGCTGCTGCCCCCGCCCCCTCCAGCGCGCCCCTTCCCTCCTGCCGCAGCCTGCGATTGGCTGAGAGGCTCTGACGTCCGTGTTTCCATGACGTGTTGGTGCGGGAGGGAGCGGCGGGGGAGGAGGGGGTGGCTCAGGCGCGCGGGGAGGTGACTCCGTCAGTCACAGCTGCTGTTTCGGCGCGGGGCCGGGCCGTTGCCGCGACATGTGGAGGCAGGAGAGCAATGATTGCCGCAGGAGAAGTGCGGGCGCCCTTCACCTGGGCCCCCTCCCGAACCGCCCCCGGGCCCGTGCCCCTCCAGGGCCCAGGAGTGAGCCAGCGGGAGGGCTGGGGCGAGCGCTCCTGGCGAGGACAGATTAAGGCGAACCCCCAGTCAGCGGACGTTTGAGCGGCTCCTTGCCGCGTCTCTGCCCCGACTCCAAAACGGACTCGACGCGTGTCCCGGGCCGTGACGCACGCACCCGACGACAAAAGTGCTGCCCGGCTCGCTCCCTCTTTGGGGAAGAGAGCTCACTCCCCATGCGGGCGCGGGGCACCCCACCTCTGTTCCTGCCGGTCGGGTCCGCAAACACCGGGGATCCCGGCTGCAGCGCCCAAAGGGTTAACGCAGGCGTTCGGCCAGTGCAAACCGGCCTCACAGGATCCGCGCTTAAAATCCGGGTGTTTTCGTTTTGGGTTTGCTTTTTCTACTATGCCAAGCTGATGGCTCTCTCTTAATGCTCTTGTAACATCTCAACCCTGCACCCATCTTTCCTGAGGGGAAAAGGAAACGGGATAACTTGCGGTATTTCGATGCTCAAAGGTAACCGGCGGCTCTGCTCCAACCTTCAAGAGATTTTGCAAGTTGAAAAACAAAGAAAATCATCCTTCGTAACATCTACTTAAAACAAAAAAAGCAGGTTTTCCTTCTTGTACACACATATACACAGTAAAGATGTGTATCTTACCTTAGATACCGCGCTTCATCTTCATCTAATCTTTATTTGAACTCACCGTCGCCACTGGCCCAGAGACCTTGTCAGTGTTATTTTCAGTATCACTTAATCAGAACAAAAAGATAAGTTCTGCAATATTCTTTCTCTTAATTCCAGAATTGGAAAATTAATATTTGTATAGCCTCCTCAAAAGCATACAGGCAATAGGAAGTATGGTATTATGTTCACGATCTGATGATAGCATTTAAAATATTTTAAAAGCTTAAGACACAAAATGTGTGAAAGAAGTTTAAAAGTGAATAAATCTAAATCAATGCTGTTGTAAATAATTTTTTTTATCAGTTTATGTATCTCACTAGGCTAGACGTTACCAGCCTTCTGAGCTGTGCCCTTGATGTGCAAAATGAACGAACATTTGACAGGATAGCATTTTTCCTCTCTTCAATCACTGATAGAGGATTGGTTAATGTGGTACAATAAATAGCCCTTCCTGACACTATTTCAAATCTTTTTAACAGAAGAATAACCTAAATTTCATCTAAGTAAGTTTCAGTATTATTTCCCCCTAAAATATCTTTCAAAACGATTCAGACATTTAAGAATCACTGGCTTTTTTCCAACTTTTCCTCCAAGGAAGTCACAATAGAAGTTGAATTATGTTTCTACTTTAATCAAGAATTTGACATTAAAGTAATATATGAATCATTTCTATAGTACACTAGCAAAATGGGTAATAGATTAAACTAGAATTTGTTCACTTTGTGGGTTTGTTCCATTTCCGGATTATAAAATGAGTGCTCATAAAGTGTTGTGGTCATGAAACAATTATTGAGCATCTTTATTTAAGAACATGATTCAATTAAGTTTTCATTTATATCGATAAATCTATAAATTGAAACATACGGAATATATATTCATGTATATCCATAAATGAAAACGTGTGTGTGTGTATCCCAGGACATATTTGTATGCGTTTTAATGAAATGTGAGTCATATGCAATGACAAACTTTTACTGTCATAGTCAAGAAAATTGTACTGTAGTTTGGTTTTTATATTTTTATTCTTCAAATAGAAAATAAAGGGTGAAAGGAATATAGAAATAACTGTTCACATTACATTAAGGAATTCAATTTCTTTCTCTACAGACTTAGTACTAAAGCCTCTTTCATACATATTTTTCAATGTAAAAATCAAGAAAATATTGCATTGCTTACTGTTTCCTTGAAAAAAAATTGAACTATCTGAAATCAAAGATGCCACTGTATATAACAGTATCCTCTTAATCTTAGACCTAATTTATCCCATGGATTTAACTGATCTAGAGATATATCTATGCATAAGGAACAATATAATAATACAGTTTACTTAGGAAATAATATTTTAAAGTTCTTTTAATATGCATTTTAGCTACAATGCAAAACTTATAAAAGTATTTATATCCAGTCAGGCGCAGTGGCTCATGCCTGTAAGCCCAGCACTTTGGGAGACCGAGGCAAGCAGATCACGAGGTCCGGATATCGAGACCATCCTGGCCAACATGGTGAAACCCCGTCTCTACTAAAAATACAAAAACTGGGCGTGGTGGTGCATGCCTGTAATCCCAGCTACTCAGGAGGCTGAGGCAGGAGAATCGCTTGAACCAGGGAGTCCAAGGTTACAGTGAGCCGAGATCACACCACTACACTCCAGCCGGGCGACAGAGTGAGTCTCAGTCTCAAAAACAAAACAAAACAAGTATTTAAACCCTATGACAAGTTACTATTTGGGATGTTAACATTAAAGAGAGGCTGCAGATTCAAAATAATATATTTGGTATTTTTAAGGTATACTCTTTTTCATGGAGTAAATCTAAACAACTGAGATATTTGCTGAAAAGTTGATCGATTCAAGATATATAACACATGAAGACAGTTTTCTAAAATCCTCAGTGTAATTAAGTTTAAAGAGAAACAACTTTATTCTGTCACATACATCTAGCAATAGGACAAAATAAATACATATCAACTGCAGTGTATTTTATAAAACATATTCTTTCCCCATAAACACATTTTACATATGTGAATATGTCAGTCCTGATCATTACAGAATCCTAAAGAGGACTGATGCGTACAGGGAGGCAGGGGAGGAGGATATTAAATTTTTCATTTAAAATAGTTGTATATGTTCTCAAATTTCTATTAACCTGAATCACCAGAGAGAGGTATCAAGAGAAAGATTACTTAGCTGAAACCCACAGAGAACTGTTATCTATTAGTAACAAATTAATTACATTTGCTGAATTAAATGGAGTATAATTATATGTAAGCCTAAAATAAGAATTTCAACTCACATGATGGAAAAATTTTTATAGGTGAAAAATGCAAAATGATTAGGTGTTATCATTTGACAGGAATTATTAGTGCCTACATACAATGTACTCAAATGTTCTAACCCACATAGTATGATCCTAAATCTAAATTTCAGAGAAGTGAAAAAGACATAGCTCATACCTACATGTTGAGAAAGTTTTTCTAAGGAGTATTTGGACTTGATTTGTGCCATGAAAGAGATACAGGATTTAAATTAATGCAAAAGATCCGCAGTAGTAAAGCCAGGAAGCGTACCTGGGAACTAACAAGTTTACCACATTTATTTTTCTATCCTTTTATTATTCAAGAAACGTGTTTACTACCTTTGATATCCCTCACCTCCCTAAGTGGCACTCGTGAATTTTCTCACTAATAGTGGTGAGTTATGATGTATCATAATCATCAATAATAGCGAGTTATGATATAGGGTTATGAGGTTTGGGTGAGATATTTACATAAAGTTCTTAACGTAGTGTTTGATTATATAGTATATGCTCAATAAATGTCATAATTATTATTCATAAACATTCTCTACTCTTTATTACCAAGAAGATATAACAACAACAGCAAATTTTACTCATTTTTACTTGTTGATGTATTAGGCCATTCTTGTGTTGCTATAAGGAAGTTTCTGAGGCAGGATAATTTAAAAAGAAAAGAGATTTAATGGCTGACAGTTCTGTAGCCTGTAAAAGCATGGCACTGGAATATGCTCAGTTTCTGGGGAGGCCTCAGGGAGCTTTTACTCATGGTAGAAGGTGAGGCAGAAGCAAGCACATCACATGGCCAGAGCAGGAGGAAGAAGAGGTGCTACATGCCTTTAAACAACCAGATCTCTTGAGTACACACTATTGGGAGGACAGCACCAACCTATGAGGGATCTGCCCTCATGACCCATTCATGTCCCACAGGCCCCACCCAACAACTGGAGATTACAATTCAACATGAGATTTAGAGGGAACAGTATTCAAACTATATCATTCCACCCTGACCCTTCAAATCTCATGGTCTTCTGACACTGCAAAATATATTCATCTATTGCCAATAGTCGACCAAAGTCTTAACTCATTCCAGCATGAGCTCAATTAAAAGTCCCAAGCCAAAAGGTCATCTAGAGATGAGTTCCTTCCACCTATGAGCATGTAAAATCAAAACAAATTATTTTCTTTCAAGATACAGTGGGGGTATAGGCATTGGGTAAACACTCCCATTTGTAAAGGGAGAAACCAGCCATAAGAATGGGGTTACAGGATCCACACAATGAAATCTAACAGGGC